CCACCACCACCACCACCACAACCACCACCACCACCACCACCATCATCATTATCATCATCGTCACCACCTGTACTCCTCAACAGATCGAAGACCTGAGAGTGTGGGATTAAGGGCATTTACTTTACCCTTAAACGAATCATGCGAGAGATGTGTTGAACCAACATGGGGACGGATTGGGGGTACGACGCGTATTATTTGGGGCTGCGCACCCATTATAAATGCTGCCTCTGGGAGGAGGATGGGGGCATGCCTTGGCGCAGGCTTACATCGGGCCGGTTACCTACGCCCAGTGGCCGCTTATTTACCTGATCTGCTCGGACAGTGGACTGGTGTTTGGGAGTGGGGGGGGGGGAGAGTGGAATCAACGGTCTCAGCGCATATTCCTCACTGTAAACAATCTGACGCGTTTAAAGCTATCACGAAGCGCTAAAATCCGTGGCTTGGAAGTTTGCCAACTGAGGAGATAACTGGGACCTCACAGTCGGCCCAGTCTTGTGTGTTTGTATGGAGTGCCCGACTGGCGAACTGAGAGTCAGGCTGCGATATCTCCTTCCTAACGTGTCCTTTGTGGCACTCCCACTCCAAGACAGTTTAGTGGCAGGCGTGGATGCGGGTCTTCGCCTTGTCAGCCACCTGCGTCCTATCCCATCTTTGGTCTTCGTGACTCCGTCATGACAGCCGCCTCCGGTGTGAGAGGAAGGACAGAGTGAGGCTGATACTATGCAAGTCTACTGTTACTATAGCTAATTCATGCGCAAGTCACCGCCCCTGCGCCCGCCACGATGCTCTGAGGGGGGTGAAAGCAAGCGACGGATGTCTCCGTTGGCGATGGTCGAAATGCCATGCCGTCTTTCTCAGTCGACACATCATTAGGGATTGATTGGATGGATGAAGGTCGTAGTGGTTAGGGTCTGCTCATGGCTTAAGCTGCCGTGACTCTACTCCTGAATTTGGGACTGCAGTAATTGGGGTACTTCCTATACTTCAGTCCTCACATTGTCTCGGATGCGCCAGAGAGATGAGAAGTATCTCGCACCAGCTGTCGGTGTCGGGTTAATGAACGACCTTTGGTGCAGGCGTACAAGTACACTCCAGACGGGATTCGCATGATGGCGTAAGTAGGGTCACCGCACGTAGAATCACGCAAATTGTATCAATACTCAGAGGCCCTTACATGGTTTCGGTCCCAGAACAGCAGAGTTTGACTGGAATTTGTAGTGGCGGTCTTCATGCGACCCACGAAGGGGGGGACGTATAGTCCAGATACACTAAATCCTGTTTCCAGCCATGAAAACTTGACAGCAGGACATAACCGGGGATCGATAGCTCAAGACAGTGCGATCACGCGCATGACAGAATCGGCGAGGCGACCCCAGCTAGTGGGTACGGACGTCATTAAATGCGGTCGATAATGCTACTGCGCAGTCAGCCCAATTCTTCAGATTCTGCAAAGGAAGGCAAGCCTCGACAGCGAACAGCGCCTTGAAGTAACACGAATAAGCGAGGGAACACGAAACTTCGTGCATGTTATGAGAATGCGTGCATGGTTGCAAATGTACAAGAGGAAACTGCAGTTCATCCTTAAAAGTTTGTACCTTTGAGATTCCTTAACATGCGCGATCCCCTGATCTCAGTCCTACCGAATCGGACCGTTAACAGACTATGGAACAAGGTCCTACGGCTGGAATCCTTTTTTATTGAGGTCCTCTTCTTGCAGTGTGACAGGAATACCCCCAGCCAATGAGTAAAGGTCCGCGAAGCAATTCGGAAGCAAGCAAGAAGTTGGTAAAAGAGGCAGTGATTTTCTGACGAATGATTACTGACGCCGTTTTAAGCTTGAACTATGCAGCTGTGTATCACGTTTTTTCCTATCAGCACATTCAGTTAGGTGCTCATACCGCATGCATTCAGTTACCATACTCGAAGCTTACAATTATTTTTGCTACGAAGAGTCTAATCGGTATGATTTAGTTTGATAGCCCCACCTGGTGGGCACAATACTGTTGGAGTTGAGGGTTAGGGTTAGGGGTTGGGTGTTATGGTTAGGGGGTTAGGTTAAAGGTGAGGGTTAGGGTTTAGGAATAGGGGTCATAGTTAGGAGTTAGGGTTGGCGGTTAGCGCAACTATTTCTCAACCCTTCAAGGCACAACCGCTCATTCTCAGTAGCTGTTCATATCATATCATTTCATATCCAAATTTGGACCCTGCCTGAAAAGGCCCGTTTCAGAAGATTTACTCCAAGTTCACGCATTGGTTTCCTCGGAAATTAAATAAGACAAGTTGAAACTGGAGTTCTTACACCAGAAAACACATGAGGAAAGCTGGGGGACCCACTGATGAGCCGAACCCCTCGCAGCTGTGTCAGGCAGCGGCATAAGATCGGCGAAACACGCGTGTCTGGGCTTTTGGCCAATACCTGCGTTGTTAGTACGGTAAATCATTGCACAGTTCTATACTACTGGCTGCCTGTTGGCGGTTTGTGAATATTAAGCGGTTATTCCGCAGTAGCTGATGGATTTCAGCTCAAATATTTATATCAAAATTTGGACCTTGCCTGAAAAGGCCCGTTCCGAAAGATTTACTCCAAGTTCACGCATTAATTTCCTCGGAAATTAAACAAAGCAAATAGCTGTTCTTTTGCGTACAGCTACTTGACCTCGTCACCTGTGGGTTTCCCGGCCCCACCTGTAAAAACCCCTATTACCACCGGTCCCGTATCAGAGGTGACTGAGATTTGCTTGCCTCAGGTGCGGCCACAAAACCACTTCCGACCGTCTAATTTAGTACACAACGAAGTAAAGGCCATCCAACACATCCCAATTCTCTCTCGTAATTAGTCAGAGTTTTTTTTTTTAACTCCGACGTGAAATTCGTGCGTGTGTGCCTGGACTTGGTCCACCTGCAGCCAATCAGCGGGGGGATACACTGTCGATTGGAGTTAGACTTTCGCTCCGGCAAGGCCAAGTCACACTCGGTTCAACCAAATGAATGACAGGCGACGATGAGCGGACTGATGAGCAGCCGCGTTGGTGAGAGCGAGATCAGACTGCTGCAGGCGGTCTTTCAAGTAAATCCCACTTGTCTGACCCCTCTTAACAAGCGCATAGACGAGTCTGGAGCTTTGCATTGGGTCCCCCAGCACACACGCCCCAACAGTTCGTCGGCCAAGAGCGTCGAGCTCAGCCATTGGATGCCGCCCCCCGTTTATTTCGCCCTCTTATGAGAGAAGGTTGGAGACGCACAGAAGAGTGAATGTTGGGATTGAAGAACGCCAAAATTTATTTAACCTTCGATGTTGGCCTCTGACTGG